AGCTGTGGTTGCTGTTTCTCAAGAACTTCAAGCTGAGAATTATCATGATATTGATAGAATTAATGCCAGGAAGGATAACGTTTTACGTTTATGGAACTACTTGTTAGAACTTTTGAGAGCAAGAAGAATGAGATTGGAGTTGGCTTTACAATTACAACAGAGCTTCCAAGAAATGATCTATATTTTGGATTCTATGGAGGAGATCAAAAAACGATTGATGACAGACGATTTTGGAAAGCATTTGATGGGTGTCGAAGATTTATTACAGAAACACTCACTTGTTGAAGCTGACATAAATGTTTTGGGTGAGCGAGTAAAGGCTGTTGTTGCGCATTCTCAGAGGTATTTTGTTTTTTTCAAATTCCATTTTATTTCATTTAGTTAATGATGTATGATTATTTAAACATTCAAACTTTCATCCAAATCAATAAGAAATTTGTTAATAATTCAATTTATTTTTTGTTTCAGGTATCTTGATAGTGGTGCTACTGAAGGTTACAGACCATGCGATCCAGCAATTATTGTTGAGCGGGTTCAACAATTGCAAGAAGCTTATGCTGAACTAGTTCGTTTGGCTGTTGAACGTAGAACCAAGCTTGAAGAGAGCAGGAAGTTGTGGCAGTTCTATTGGGATATGGCTGATGAAGAGAACTGGATTAAGGAGAAGGAAAATATTGCATCCAGTGGAGAAATCGGAAGAGATTTGACAAGCATTAATTTGCTTTTGTCCAAACACAAAGCTTTGGAAAATGAAATTTCATCCCATGAATCACAGTTGATGAAAGTGGTTTCTACTGGCGACGATTTAGTCAGAGAGGGACATTTTGGTGCAGATCGAATTCAAGAACGAGTACAAGAAATCTTGGCAAATTGGAACAACTTACTAGACAAAGCAGCATTCCGAAGAAAGAGATTAGAAGAAGCTGTAGATTACTTCCAATTCTTTGCTGATGCTGAGGATGTTGATGCCTGGATGCTAGATTTGTTGCGCATTGTTAAATCTGAAGATGTTGGTAGAGACGAAGCTAATGTGCAAAGTTTGTTGAAGAAACACAAAGATGTTACTGATGAATTGAAGAATTATGCATCTACAGTTGAAGCCTTGAAAACTCAAGCTTCTCAATTAGGTGCACAGGATGCTAAATCTCCTGAAGTTGTTCAAAGGTTGAATGCCATTGATGATCGTTATAAAGAATTGAATGAACTAGCCAAGTTGAGAAAGCAACGTTTATTGGATGCCATGAGCTTGTATAAATTGTACTCTGAAAGCGATGGAGTCGAACAATGGATTGGTGAAAAGGATAGAATGCTACAAACAATGGTGCCTGCTAAGGATATTGAAGATGTAGAAATAATGAAACATAGATATGATGGTTTCGACAAAGAAATGAATGCTAATGCCTCTCGTGTCGCTGTTGTTAATCAATTAGCAAGACAATTGTTACATGTAGAACATCCAAACAGTGAACAAATTGTTGCCAGACAAAATCGCTTAAATCAAGATTGGGCTATGCTACGCGACAAAGCCGAAGCTAAGCGCGACGAGCTCAATTCTGCTCATGGAGTTCAAACATTCCACATTGAATGCAGAGAAACTATTTCTTGGATCGAAGATAAGAAACGTATTCTTACTGATACTGATAGCTTGGAAATGGACTTGACTGGAGTGATGACCTTGCAGAGACGTTTGTCCGGAATGGAAAGAGATCTTGCTGCAATTCAAGCCAAATTAGATTCTCTTGAACGTGAAGCTGATGCTATTGAAGGAGAACATCCTGAAGAAGCCGCCATCATCCGTGAGAGAATTGTTCAAATTCAAATGATTTGGGAACAATTAACTTTGATGTTGAAAGAACGTGACTCCAAGTTGGAAGAAGCTGGAGATCTGCACAGATTTTTGCGTGATTTGGATCACTTCCAAGCATGGTTGACTAAGACACAAACTGATGTAGCTTCTGAAGACACACCAGCTTCATTACCTGATGCTGAAAAATTATTATCTCAACATCAAACAATCAGGGAAGAAATTGATAATTATACAGATGATTACACAAAGATGATGGAATATGGAGAAAGAATTACTGCAGAACCTTCAACTCAGGATGATCCACAGTATATGTTCTTGAGAGAACGTTTGAAGGCTTTGAGAGATGGCTGGGAGGAATTGCATCAGATGTGGGAAAACAGACAGCAATTGTTGAGTCAATCTCTAGACTTGCAACTGCTCCAAAGAGATGCTAGACAAGCCGAAGTACTGCTTAGTCAGCAAGAACATACTCTTAGCAAAGATGATACCCCAACTAACTTGGAACAAGCTGAAAACCAAATCAAACGTCATGAAGCTTTCTTGACAACTATGGAAGCTAATGACGACAAAATTAATTCAGTTGTATCTTTTGCAAACAAGTTATGTGATGAAGGCCATTATGCAGCTGATAAAGTACAAAAGAAGGCTGAGAACATAGATGAGCGTCGCAATGCCAATCGCGAAAAGGCTTTGCAGCAATTGGAAAAATTGAGAGATCAACTACAACTGCATCAATTCTTGCAAGATTGCGAAGAATTGGGTGAATGGGTTCAAGAAAAGAACATAATTGCTCAAGATGAAACTTACCGCAGTGCCAAAACTGTTCACAGCAAATGGACACGTCATCAAGCATTCGAAGCCGAAATTGCTGCTAATAAAGACCGTCTTCGTGCTGTAGAAAAAGCCGCAAATGAATTGATGAAAGAGAAACCAGAGTTCAAAGAGTTGATTCATCCTAAGATGCAAGAATTACAAGACCAATTTGATGACTTGGAGAACACAACAAAGGAGAAGGGAGAAAGATTGTTTGATGCCAATCGCGAAGTATTGATCCATCAAACTGTTGATGACATTGATTCATGGATGAATGATTTAGAAAAACAAATCGAAAGCACCGACACTGGTAATGATCTTGCATCGGTGAACATTCTGATGCAAAAGCAACAGATGATTGAAACTCAAATGGCCGTTAAAGCGCGTCAAGTTAGTGATTTGGACAAACAAGCAGAACATCTTCAGAAGAGTGCTACTCCCGCAGAGAAGATGGATGATATTAAAGCAAAGAAAACCCAAGTTGAAAGAAGATTTGAACAAATCAAAGCTCCACTTATGGAAAGGCAAAAGCAATTGGAGAAAAAGAAGGAAGCTTTCCAATTTCGCCGAGATGTCGCGGATGAGAAACTGTGGATAGACGAAAAAATGCCACAAGCTTTGAGCCAGGATTATGGAAACTCATTATTCCAAGTACATATGCTAAAGAAGAAGAACAGATCATTGGACACTGAAATTGATAATCATGAGCCAAGGATTCAAGCCATTATTTCGAACGGAAACAAATTAATCGCTGAAGGACATGAGGCTACTCCTGAATTTGAGCGATTAATACAAGAATTAAGTGAAAAGTAAGAATATCAAATAAATTATTGAAATATAGTTAATAATTGAATGCTTGATTTCTAAATTTATTTTAATTGTAGATGGAAGTCACTCAAAGATGCAGTCGATAATCGTTTAAATCATCTCTTACAATCTGAGAAAGCTCAACAATACTTCTTCGATGCTGCGGAAGCTGAGAGCTGGATGAGCGAACAAGAACTCTACATGATGGTTGAAGATCGAGGTAAAGATGAAATTTCAGCGCAGAACTTGATGAAGAAACACGACACTTTGACACAAGACGTAGAAGATTACGCTCAAGTTATCAGGCAACTCGGTGAAACTGCGCGGTTATTGACTCAAGAGAAACACCCATACAGGTTACTAGACATAGAATTAGAAATAGATTATGTTTTTGAATTATTTCTATTTTTGCTAGAAATTTATAAAAATAATATTAAATCTTTATTCTTCTATGGTTATTTTCATATTTTCTATCTTTAGTGATCAAATTGCTGTCAAACAATCACAAGTTGATAAATTGTATGCTGGATTGAAAGACTTGGCTGGAGAACGTAAAGCTAAACTGGATGAAGCCTTACAATTGTTCATGTTAAATCGTGAAGTTGATGATTTGGAACAATGGATTGCTGAACGAGAAGTTGTTGCTGGTTCACATGAACTTGGACAAGACTATGATCATGTAACAGTAAGTAAACATAATATATTTGTTAAATAATGTTTTTATTCATGCTTTATAATTAACATCAAACTTATTCAAAATTTTGATTCCCAAAAAATGGTAATGGTACTACTTTTGCTTTATATTTATAGTATATATTGTTTGTACAAAATATTATATACATTTATTCAAAATTTTCAGTTATTATGGGAGCGCTTCCGTGAATTTGCTCGTGATACACAAGCTGCTGGAGGAGAACGTGTCCAGGCTGCTAGTGATTTAGCAGATAGGCTGATTGCTGCTGGACATTCAGATTCTGCAACAGTAGCTGAATGGAAAGATGGTCTTGGTGAAGCTTGGCAAGATCTTCTTGAAATTATTGAAACTAGGTAATACATAATATTATTTTACCATTTTTATTTTATTTTTGTACAAAACGTTTTAGACGCCTATGATCAATCTGCAGGTACACAAATAACTAATCATTTTAGCCAAAAATTATATATTTATGATTTTCTTTAATTTTTTCTTTTATTATTTCAGAACTCAAATGTTAGCTGCTTCCCGTGAACTCCATAAATTCTTCCATGATTGTAAAGACGTTTTGGGTCGTATTTTGGAGAGACAACACGGTGTGTCTGATGAATTGGGCAGAGATGCTGGATCAGTAAGCGCACTTCAAAGAAAACACCAAAACTTTGTGCAAGACTTAATGACTCTTCAAACACAAGTATTAATAATTCTAATAAAATTTCATAAAACCCGTATACTGAATCAGGAATTAAAATCTGTATTATTTTTTTCAGGTACAACAAATTCAAGAAGAATCTGCAAAATTGCAAGCTTCATATGCAGGTGATCGTGCTCGTGAAATTACAAATCGCGAAGCTGAAGTATTAAACGCCTGGGCACAATTACGTGGTGCTTGTGATGCCAGGAGACATAAATTAGCTGATACTGGAGATCTATTCAGATTCTTCAATGCAGTCCGTACTCTCATGATCTGGATGGATGATGTTGTTAGACAGATGAATACCAGCGAGAAACCAAGGTAAATTAAATTTGAAATACAAATTATTGTTTACTGATGATTTTATTTATTAATATAAATAGATATAATGTATGAATTTAGATAAACTTTAATCTGTTTTACTGCCTTGAAATATTATTTTTCTATTTGGCACTTTCTACAAGTATTTATCTATAAAAGAATTTTATTTATAAATTTTACTCTAAACATATAATTTTTACTTCAATCATGAATTACTGTCAAGTTTGTCCATAAACTTACCATATGTCATTTACTCATTTACCATTTCTTATTGCAGAGATGTGAGTGGAGTCGAACTCCTGATGAACAACCACCAGTCTCTCAAAGCCGAAATTGATACACGCGAAGATAATTTTGCATCATGTATCGCTTTGGGTAAAGAGTTGTTGTCCAGGAATCACTATGCTTCGAACGAAATTAAAGAGAGGTTATTGCAACTTAGCAACCAGAGGAACTCTCTCTTACATAGATGGGAAGAACGCTGGGAGAATCTACAACTGAGTAAGTTGATACATTATTTGAATTGATATTCATCTTAATTAGATAACATATGATTGTGACAAAAAATTCTAGGTTCCAATTATAAATATTGATGCTTTTAATTCTTTTATAAAGCTAAACTCATCAAAGAGAAAGTAATTTCTCTTATATCAGTTACTTCTGTCTGACTGAGATATGCAAAATATATATTATATTACATAAAAAAAAACTTTACTATATACTTTTTCTTATTTAGTTCTGGAAGTATATCAATTCGCCCGTGATGCGGCTGTGGCTGAAGCCTGGTTAATTGCTCAAGAACCATATCTAATGTCTCAAGAATTAGGTCATACCATCGATGAAGTCGAATGTCTGATCAAGAAACATGAAGCCTTTGAAAAATCAGCAGCCGCTCAAGAAGAACGATTTGGAGCTCTCGAACGATTAACAACGGTAAGTTGTTTGAATTTTTATTGCCAATGGCTTTTTTTTGTATAGTGTAGTGTTTTAATAATTTAGATATGTTTTCATACATGTGGTACTTGGTCTTGATATTTTAACTATTTTCTATTTTGTTGGTGAATTGTTAATTGTATATAGTTATTAGTAGATGGTATGTTGCACTGTAAATTTTACTCTGTAATTAATCTTTAGAATTATTTTCTTCTATTTATATTGCATGTTTTTAAATACTCTCATGTTGTTGTTTTAAATATATTTACAAATAATCAATAAAACAAACATTATATATACAACTAAACCTTTTGCTTGTATATTAAAGTTTTTCTTAATTGAAATTTTAGATTAAGTTTTTAGTTCTATGTCTGTTTTCCTGAATTTTCTCACATTAAAATACAATTTACATGAGAGTATTCCAAAATTTCTGTTTCTATGTATTTATGTATGTACTGTATTAATTTTTTTCAAATTCTTCTTTCATTCTACTCGCTCACAAAACAGCTTGAAAGAATTCCTTCTGGTAAATTGGCGTTTGACTTATCAGCCTTATGTTCTAGTGCATCTCTTTGCAATGACATTGAAACTGAAATTTCTAACAAAAATACAGTATCCGACACATCCCAAAATTCTGCTCCTAAACCTACTCCTTGCAAAAGAAATGTTTCAAAACGAAATAAAACAGTTGTTAAAAATTATGCGAAAATCGTGAGTGATATAATTTTGAAAAGCGATCGTTTTTATAAACCCGAATTGTTCAAAATTCGTACACATACCACTTCAGGTCGAGAAATAATGTATCCTGAAACGACCAGGAAGAGATTTTCAAAACCTTTATCGGCTTGTGATAGCTTTTTACATAAAAAGAGACCTGTTGAAAATCTTGTAGAATCAAAAAGTGAAAAAGATCTACGTTCTTCTATTCTTAAAACATTGCCTCCATCTAGTCCAGGTTTTGTCAAAGTTATATGTGATCAATTTATTTTATCAGAAAAACAGAATAGCTTAATTGATAAAAGTGGTGTACAAATAAATGTTCCACATAACTCTACTTCTGCAACAGAAACTTGTAAAAATTACAGTAAGGAATCTCTAATATCTGAACATTTAGGATCCATCAATTCAATTAATTATAAAAGGGATATAAGTTACATTAATTTTGCTAATTGTGAAATTGACAAACAATTCGATAGTATCTACCTAAATGGCGCTGATAAAAATAAAAGTTCAATGAAATCTTTAGATATCAATGTAACTGACAATCGTACTAATGGACATTTTGATAAATCACAAAAAAATAATAGTTTTTCGAATTTTCTAGATGCTCAAACCAATGATTTTCATGATACAATCCAACAAAAAATTCACAGTGAAGGTTCTCTGATATCATTTGAAGCTAATTTAACAAATTTAAAAAAAGCTGATGAATGTTCAAATTTAAAATCTCATAACGATAGAAATATAAATTTGAAAAATAATAATGTATTAGATAAGGCTAATGAAGATAGAATAGGGTATAAAAATTATAGCGTAGAATCCTTGAATTCCTTTGATAGTCATTTGAGCTCTTTAAATCCTACTCCCCTTCCTGGAAGATCCTTCTGCAGGATTATTGTGGAAAATGAACCGGTGAGTTTGAGTCAATGTTTTCTCTGCATGATAATACTTAAAATAAGTCAAATATAACCTATTGATTGCATGCCTATTCGTTTAGTTGCTGTAAATATAGTTGTGGAAGTAGTCTTATTTGTCTAAAAATTATATTTGTGATTAATAATATTAATCATTAAAAATATTAAACTAGAAGATATAGTGTCTCCGTACGTAATATATATTGGGAAAACGTTTTGTCAGGTTTTACACTAATCGATTCCAAGAATTGCGATTTAATCCTTTTCCATCATTTAAATTTGATTCTTAGACGCTTATATATAGAACTAATTTACATTAAAAATTTATAAGGTCATGATAATTACCTGAGGTGCTATATTGCTCAAAAAAAGTGTCATTTCTATGTGTTTTTAATTATTTGTGTGTTGCATCATATGAAAATAGATTTTAATTTATCAGAGAATTATTTAGTATAACCTTTTTTTTCAAGCCATATGCTATTCATAGATAGGTTAATATTGTAAGCTTTCATATCTGGTAAGTAATTGATAGTTGGTTGAATGGTTATAAAATTTGAACAATGAATATAGTTATAAACTATATAGCATAGCTATATAACAATGAATATAGTTATAATTTGAACAATACAAGCTAGGAGCTTATTTTTGTACCATTGAAACACACATATTGCCACCAAAAAATGAATTTTGTTTGAATGTTTATAAATGTTTACTTCGAACCAAGAGAAGTGTTTCATTGTGCACTATTAGTCCAGTCATTTAAGCTTAAATTTGGTAATAATCTCGGAATTTGAGATACCCAGCTGTAAGTCTGTAAATACTTGTATATTGACACCCTGAAGTTGTCTCAAAACCTACATATGGTAGGGTGTCAATACCATATGTAGGTTTTGAGACAACTTTAGGGTGTCAATATATAAGTATTTACAGACTTACAGCTGGGTATCTCGAATTTCGAGGTGAACTTACTATAGATTAAATTTACATAATATACATTTTATTGCAAAAGATCAGTTCTAAAAATGGTGCAATAAGTTCTCTCAACAAATAAACTTAAATTATATATGACAGCCAAAATGATAAATTATTAGTAATAATATATCCATGAAAGAACAAAAATAATTATTTTTAATAATTGACTTATGACTTAGAGTATCTGGTCTGGTCTGCTTACTGCTCATTGAACCTGCTTTCATTGCTCCATAAATAATGCTTTCTAACCTGACAAGTAATTATTTTTTACAAAATAAATCTTTTACCAATCTGCCTTGAAATTAATCAATTAACACCTATTTTTCTCATTATCCAGTTCGAATTGAAAGAACTAAAACGCAGACAAGAATTGGCGGAAGAAGAAGAACGCAAACGCCAGCAGGCAGCGCAGGAGGCGTTGCGAGCGCAGCAGCGTGAAAGAGAGAAAGAATCAGCTGCTCTTAAGGAGAAGGAAGGAGATGGCACTGATGGTGCCAAATCTTCCTCCGAAGCAGGAAAGAGGAAGAGGCACAAGGTTAGTAGGAAGAGATAGTAGATTTTGGATATATAAATAATAATAGAATTTGGATATATAAATAAATGTCTGATGAGTGGATGTGTTTAAGAGTGCGATTGGGACTTTGGGTATGCTTTATTAAGGTGCTATTCAACTGTGGTGTTTGATATTTCTGTACATTTATTTTCTTGGTAAACGTGAACAAAAGTGTTAGTGTGATTTTGTACAAAGGGGGTTTAATACGTGTTTTTGTATTACAATTGAAGTTTGATCACAATGTAGTCTAGTCATTATAGTAAGTTCACCTTGGAATTCGAGATACCCAGCTGTAAGTCTGTAAATACTGTATATTGACACCCTAAAAGTTGTCTCAAAACCTACATATGGTAGGGTGTACGTACCATATGCAAGTTTTGAGACAACTTTTAGGGTGTCAATATACAAGTATTCACAGACTTACAGCTGGGTATCTCGAATTCCGAGATTCTTACCTGGTTTAAGCTTAAATGATTGAACTAATATGCGATGTTGGTCATACAACCTTGAATAATTAGTTTTTAAATCAACGTGGGGCAAATAGAGGGGCAAAATAAATTTAAATGAACAAACTCATTTTTAAGGGTTAAATTGCCATAAAATAGGTGTATTCATAGAAAGCGGGGCATAGTTCACAAAGGTGAAAGTAGCATGAATTAACTCATTCGAGTCAATGAATCGTTTTCAATAACTAGAATTAAATATTTCTTTTTATAATTTTTTCTGCATAAAGAAAAATGTTTTTAATAGAACACAATTAGTTCTTAATTTAACAATGCAGATTATTTTATATTAAAAATAAGGTCAATGTGCAGCATTAAATCTCACACAAGTATTTCTGAATATAAGAGCATATGGAAAAGTGTCTGTAATCAAACATATTTTACAAAAATTAAGTAAATATTAGAAGTATTAAACAATATGTGCTATAATGAATAGTATTAGTCCTTATTAGCTATGATGGTGTAATTTTGATTTTTGTTGCAAAGAAATTATCGTTATCTGATTTACCTTACTTTCATCCTTAAAATCGCGAAAATTGGACAATACTTTTGTTTTAACGTTTCAAATACTATTTTGGACAAAATGATTTAATAGTTTTTGAACTAAAGGTTTATCCAGATTGAATAATTGTTATTACCAGTAGTATACACTTGTAATTATTGTCTGGTAAGTTCAGTTTGTCTCGATTGGGTTAAATCTTGTATTGATACTAGAACATTAAAAAACGGTTTTGCTTGTTATTTACTCAATATATTATTTCCTGGATAAGTGAAAAAAACTTTCGAATAATGCTGATAATATATCAATGAGAGCTTAAAACTATTAAATAATATGCCTAATTAATAATGCAAACGATTATACATTTATTTTTGCTGTAATTTTGCCTTCATTGTCCTATGTGGATTTCCTACATTTTCAACCGAGAAACGGCGAAAATTTTGGTCTTTAATTGAAAAATAAAGTAATATTGTTTTATATGCTTCTTAGCCAATTTGTGTATAATATAATGTAATATCGATCTTGACGACTGTTTTATATATCTAGAGTAAATCATAATTTTATCACCTTTCCAATTATATTTGTACATGGTCTAATCTTGACTCGATTGGGTTAATTCTGTACACATACTGGAAAATTCAAAAATGGGAGTATGTTGATTGATGAACATATCAATCATTTATTCCTGGTTAGGCTGTGTGATTGTTGGAAGCATTTGTGCTTAATTATATAAATATAATTAAGAAATTTGTACACTGGAAAGCTATTCGTTTGGGTGTGTTGTCACTGAGCATGTGTGTTTGCACCTAGTAAATTTGCAAATACATGCTATATTAGCTTTTTGCACATTTTAAAATGTAGTTAGAGGACTTTCGAATAACTTGTAATTGTTAATTCTATTAAAATGAACTGCCACATATTGGGTAATTGTAATTATTTTTCCAAAATTTAAAATGACTGAAATTCCGTTAAAAATTTAAATAGAAATTTCTTTAACGCACGCTGCAGTCGCTATGAGAGAAGCGCCTTCGGTTGCTGAAAGACCTTTATCCCAAACAGGTAAAAATGTCGAAGAACATTTTCAAAATTTAAATATTTTTGTTACCATTTTAGGAATTGGTAGTGAAAACTCTTTTGCATTGGTAAAAATACTTCATCCAATTTTAAGTCTTCGAAAAAAAAAATTATATGAATAAATAAGTATTGCTCACTGCATAAGTAACTATAAACATCATTAAATTTTTATCTTTTTTATTTAAATGGATTTCTAAATTTATATATTGAAATTTAGTGTAAGAGATAATGACTAAGAGAACTATAATATTTGTGTTGTATGATATAGTTTAACATATTACAATTATTGTTTTATATAAAAATTTAATTTTACAGCTATCTCGAAAAATATTTCTTTTTGTTATACCTCTTATATCACACTATTTATTCTTAAGAAATTGGAAAACTATTCTTTGTAAAGACAATTTAGTGTTTATCTTGAGATTCTGTACATTATCATGCAACTGTTTGGTTGATAGATATATTATTGCTTGAAAATATTAATTTACAAAAAATAATATATTTTTTTGGTTAAATTTCTTTATATTTAATTCTGATAAATCGAATTTTCAATATAGCAAAGCAATGCAAAAGAGCTTAATCACTTCCTAATTTTTTGGTCCATCAATGTTGATCATCTGTTTTTATGTTAGATTTTTTAAAGTTAATTTTTAATACTTTTTGTTTTAATATAATTTCGTGGGTATAAAGGATTATTGTTCACAACTTGTCTTAATTTGGTTTTAGATAATTTGACTACAGATACAATTAAGTCAAATTTTTTATGTTTTTTGTACATTATAAATAATCGTTTCAATCATCGTGTAATCAAATAATTCTAATATCGTTATTAGATGTGGTACTTTAATTTCTGATTTATTTTTTTATTTGACATACTATTTTATGTTGTGTGTTAGAGTGTGACTTATATTCCTATATGTATATACTTTTATATATGGTTTTGTATATATATATATATATATATATATATATATATATATATATATAGTTGTTTATAATTGGTGTCGGTACATGCAATGCTCTCACAAATCTTTTTATTAACAAAAACTTTCATTCTCAGGTTGAAGGCTATGTTTTTTTTTCAATAATACCATTTTGTAATAATTGAACAGCTCTTTTTCATATCTAGGTGGCGTTTGTTCTTAGATCCTGCAATCAATGTCTAATGCTGTTGTATTGAATTAATATTTTGATTTAATATTCACATTTCTAGCAGCAAGTTTATATTGGTGATACATGTAATATAAAATTGGCTTTGATTATCCATCAATAAATTATACATGGAAATTGTTGGTGTCGAATGAAATATAGTGGACTCACAATTCATCTGACATGTTTATGTATATATTCCACTTTATTCCTTTGTCAGAAAATACCTTCGAGAGGTAATATAAAAAGGTATTCCAAATTTAAAAATAAATTTTTGGATAAGCAAAACAAATTCAATTTTTCATCTCTTCATATAAACTTGCTGCTTTTTTAACTACCAATTTGTATCTATAAGCTTCTCACACAATTATTCTTCACAGGTCGTTGGTTACTAATATACGTTTATGTTATTTGATGATAAAATATAAACCTTTAAATTGTTGTTAACATGTTAAATTTATATGTTGCTAAGGTCAGCTTTCATTCAATCGACTTCAGAATTAATGTCATAGATTTTGAAGTAACGATAGGTATTTTCAGCAATAATTTTGTCATTTGTGTTTTAAAAAGAGGTAAGATTGAAACTTTGTTTGATAACAAATTTTATTTCATATTAATTATGTTATAATTAATTAATATATCTATATGTGTTTCTAATTCTTGGATCTAAAGGTATGTTTTAATTTATTATTTGGTTTGCCTAAATGTGTCTTAAGGTGTGGCTTATATTAATTATGCATGTGCATGCTGGTTACTTTCTAATATAGATTTTTTTAAATAATATTTTCATATTTTATAATAAAATTAATATAATTTTATAATTATTTAGACTAAGTTGAATGCATATCTAAATATACTTTAAGAGATATTTTAACTTTAAGTGTGAAATAATTTGAACAAATAATAATTTGGAATGCTAGTATTATAATTGTATAATTATTTTTTATAAGGATTTAATTGAAGCTTATCATTGAATTAAGTAGATACAATTGTCATAAAGACTTTTTTTTCCTTTTTATTCTTAATTAATTTAATTTAATTAATCTCTTTAATTCGATTTTTCTTACGATCTCGATGAATACTCACATAACGTAAAACGTTATAAAAATATTACTTTTTTTCTTATGCAATAAAAAATTTGTTTGATTTACAAATTTTCAAAAATTTTTAATGCAATTTTGCAAATCATTCATATATCATAAAACATTATAAAAGTAATATTTTAAATTTATTTCTTCTATTAATAGTCTTTTTTGTAGTTATTTGCAAAATTTCTAGATTTTTATATTGATTTTGCTTGCATTCTTTATAAATATTAATACATTTGACTACGTTACAAAATTTCTAAATTCTTTAATTTGATTTTGCTTACGTTAGACATTATAATATTTAATAAGTTACAAAAATAGTATTTTATTGTAGTTATGTGCATGGTGCTTTTAAATAATTTAGCTCGTATTTTTCTTGTGAAACTTTTTCAAATGACAAAGATATAAGGATAGTTTATTATCATACACTAAATATTCTTTGAGATCAATTATAGTTTCTTTAGGGGGCGTCCATTAATCACGTGATCGACTTTTTAAAGATTTTTAGACCCTCCCCTCCCCCTTGGTGATACGTGGTGATATTCAAAATTACCCCCTGTCCGCCCACCAAACATCACGTGTATTTTTAGTTACGTGAAAAAATTGTAAAGTTTTTTTTTTTAAATATTTGGACTTTTTAAAAAATTCAAGTAAAAAATAAATACACGTGATATCTTACTATATCCCTCCCTCCCCCACGTAATTTTTTGTCAATCCCCCCCTTCCCCTAAAAATCTCACGTGATTAATGGACGCCCCCTTACATATTTTTCAATTTTTCCATAAATCATGAGAAAAATATGGGCTTAAAATGTATTTATAATTTTTATTTATGCTTGTATGTATATATTATTTAATTATTTGCATTTATTAAGTGCATGAAGTTGAAGGCATGAAACAGTCTCCGACAAAATCTCCAAGGGCTAGTTTGACTCCTGTCAAAGGACAAAAGGGAGTTGCTACTATGCCGGCTAGTCCAGTCAGGAAGGATATGCGTAAGTTTATTTGTAAGATACGTTTTTTGTTGAAAGGTAGTTGACAAAGATAATGGAAAGTTATCTAATCAATACCTTTGCATTTAACTTTAAAGATTTTCTATGGGTCATGGCCATAGAACAAAATAGTTATGTATTACACAGGCCAACAAAAAAAGTTTTTTTTTTGGTGCCTCAAATTTTAGAGCTGATTCTTATAGTATTTTTTGCCCTGATTTCAAATCTGCAAACCATTTTGTTGTATCAGCTCTAGTTTTTGAGATGCAAAGAAGTTGCCGAAACCAGGTCCATTCTAGGTCGTCACGGAAAAGAACTTTTCACAGTGTCAACTAATGTCCCAACTAAGGCCGAATGGGTCTTGTAAGTTTGTATGTACAAGTAGGCATATCTCATTACAATAACATTCTGAATTGCATTACTATTTTGTACTTTCGTTCCTTATATTAGGTGCGCAACTAAGTTCTCGCTGTTTGTCAGTATATGGCTTTATCAGTAAGGGTTGGTCGATTTTGACAAATCCAAAACGTCTTGAAGCAAGCTTAGAGTAAGTAAACAAACTGCTGTGACACCTAATTGATTTCGTTTTTGCATTATATACTTCTGGTAAAGTGAATATGTCCAATTTTATGCCAAACAATCGTCATTTGCGGGGAGTATTGATTTTCGTCTTCCATTAAAAAAAAAACGGCAGCAAAGTGCATCGAGAGCTACGGAAATGTTGCTCTGAGCGAAACAACATGCCATGAGCGGTTTTGTCGCTTCAAAAATGGTGATTTTGATGTTGACGACCACCCTCGTGAAGGAAGGCCAAAACCTTCAAAAACGCTAAATTGAAGGCCTTGTTCGAAGAGGATTCGTGCCAAACTCAAGAAGATCTTGCTTTAGAATTAGGAGTTACCCATCAAACCATTTCCAAGCTATAGTATGCGTCGGGGATGATTTAGAAGCAAGAAACTTCGGTTTCTTGTGAGTTGAAGCCAAGAGAGGTCGAGCGTCGTTTTTTCGCCTGTAAACAACTGCTCCAGCGGCGAGAAAAGAAGAGGTTCTTCATCACATCGTGACAGGTGATAAAAAATAAATACATTACAGCAATCCAAAGACGAGAAAATCTCGGTTCGGCCGAATATTCACTTCGAAGGTTATGGCTCTACATATGGTGGGACCAGGTCGGTGTTATTTGTTATGAGCTGTTTGAACCGAGTGAAACCATCACTGGAGAACTGTATCGAACTCAATTGATGCATTTTTTTATAATAAAGTTACATTTTCATCGAAAAAACAGCGAGAACTTAGTTGCGCACCTAATATCGTAAAATATATCATATATATTGTATCTTCAAAACTAAAGCTCATAGAAAAAAACCAATGTCATTTTTGAAATCAGCGCCCCAAATATACTTAAAAACAGTATTAAAATCGTTTGCACCATTTTCTTTGTTGACCTGTGTTATCAATCTTATACCAATTCCTCCATTTTACCATCTAGTAAGGTGATCATACATCCTGGTTTGGCCAGGACAGTCCCGGATTTCCACCTTGTATCCTGGGTTTTTTTAAAACCAATATTTGTCCCGGATTTAAACATTTTTTCCGAGTTGTCCCGGGTTTTCGAAAATTAACAAAAATTATGAAAACAAATGAACAAGTGCATATTTTTTTCAAATTAATTATGAAGAAAATTGAATAGAATTTTATACAAGACTCGAAAGCAAAAAACATAGAAACAAAAGTCCGCGATTTTGATTAATAAAAAATGATTCATATAAGACTTTTTTTTATTGTATCTTTAAATAGCATTAATTTTATTGTATCCTTAAAGACCACACACCCCCCCCCGCCCGTCCAGGATTAGCATAACCAGAAATTAATATAGAAATGTTTAAATTTCCATCTGTATAAAAATATAATGAAATTTATTGATTACAAAACTCTAGATATGTCATGACATTATGTTTTTATATAAATCTGATGCCAATGTTCAGTTGATTTCTATGTTGACTTAAAAAATATGGTTACCTTACATCTAGATGTTATAACAATTTTTATCCTGATGAGGAAATTTCCATCTTCTAGACTCTAATTTGAGAAGCAAGAACTTGTCAACTACTTTTTAATTTTTGATATTTTTATATAATTTATTTATACTTAAATTATGAATCAGTACAGCTGCCAAGGATCATATAAATACTACTTTATTTTGTAGATTTTACGATTATCTACCTTATTTTTATCTTATTATTATCTTGATCTTATAACATGAACAAAATAACGTTTGCTGGTTATGGATATCGCGTAGTATATAATGATGCATTTTTTGTAAAGGAAAAATAAACATTTTATTTAGAATACAATACTTATACATTCTCGATTAGCTTATATAACTAATTTTGTCTTGCAAGCATGTGATTGCAATATTCAAAATGTAATATTGGTGCTAGGCTTTCTTGTAATGTGGTATAAGATGATATTTAATTTATAAATTAGATGCAAATGTATTTCGAAATTTATTATCTTAAATATTGTGTGTATGTTGCGAATTATGAAAAAAAATTATTACTTCCCGAATCAAGGTGCAAAAGAGCCAGAGATTTGCTGTAGCCACTTGTTACAAAAATAAATATCTAGATATAAAAAATTAATAGAAATTAAATATTGGGTAATATCATTCTAATATGATTATGATTAATATGATTAATATGACTAGTCCAAGCGATTTTTTTATTTAATTGAAAATATTTTTATTGGCATTGTTGGAATGATGAGTTTGAAACGAAGATTTTGTTTATACTGTAGAACCAGTAACCAGATGCAAACAATTTTAGCGTCACTTCAGAATCTGATAAATTTTACTAAATAATTTAGTAATTTTTTATGAAACTAGATGACCCGACAGACGTTGTTCTGTACTTATGTTTACAATTCAAAAGTTCCTTTTTTTTAAATAACCTATACTGATATTTACCAACTAGTTAAAAATTATTAAGTTTTTTACACTGCAGTCTATACCAAAATGTATATACATCCACCCATATTGATCTTAAATGTACAACTGCTCTAAATAAAATGATGAGTATTTGCTTTTTTGAAAAACATTATGAAACATTTTTTCTTATAATTAGTTCTTTTATCGATATCCGACGTTATTTTGAAAAAAAAAAAATGAAATTACACTACTGAGAGGGATGTTATCTCCCCGGGAAATGGCAAAGGAGTCTAAATTATTTTCACTTTTGAACTTGAGAGTAAGATAAACCTAATTTCAAAATTTCATACGAATTGGAGCACATTAAAAAAAATTCAGACCCAAAACGCTCCATTGACTTGAGCAAATATTCCGTATCCGATGGCAAAAATATGAAAATACTAACGATTGTATGTGAAAAAAGGGCTGTTTTTAGGGTTTTCCCGGCAATTATTCGATTTTTTCTCGCCGTAAGAACCATCCTTGGACTTGAACGAACATTTTAAAAAAAGAATTGGCCAAATTGGTCCAGGCGTTGTCGAGTTATGTGCTTACCAACACATTTTGCGATTCATTTTTATATTATAGATATACTTCTTGCACAAAGATGTTGAGGGCTTTTCTTTAAGTTCTATCATTTTACAATAGTGCAAAACTTATTTAGATAGATGTTGGAATTAAATTTATTTTATTTCGCCTGTGATTGTTTAAAACTTAGTGTTTCATGAAAGGTTGCAGCAAAAATCTCGCTCTCTCACTTGATTATTTTATGTTGATCTTTGTCAAAAATTCATTAAATGTAACTTCAGACCAGACAAGCCAAAGATTTACAAACGGTTTGTACGAATAGGTAAATTAGGTTATACCTACCATTGACTAATTAGTTCAAATCATCTTTTTTCTGCATTTCCAATCCTATCCTCATTTGACGTATCCTATCTTGCTTATTTGTTTTATATTTATTATTATTTTACGTTAACTTTATGGTATCATTTATATCATCTGCTATTCTTATTTGATATAAATCCAAAACTTGATATACTGTTTTATCTTCTTTCCGTCTAATACCACATCTTTTTCATCTAAACAACTATTTTACTGTAAACCTTCTTGTCTTATACCTTCTTGTCTTACCTTTTATGTCTTCCTCTTCAATCTACACCAACATCATTTATGCTTCTTATTTGCAACTTTCTGTATCAACAACTTCTTCCTATCTCATATTGGTCTAACCTCGACCCCCAAGTCTTTGCTTCCCACAAATCAGGTGCATCCACCCTTTCCCCATCCAGTGCGTTCCTATCAGCAGAACGTTCTCCTAGCGGCGGTCCAGGAGCATCCTCGACATTGCCGAGCAGTGCTGGTAGGAAACACGGATCCAGATCCAGATCCAAGTCTCCGTTCAGGAGTTTTAGATGGCGCAGAAGTGCGTCTTCATCGAAACAGGAAGGAACAAGTGCCAACAGCGATGACGAAGGTATATTAGGTTTAATAATAGGAAATATCTGAAGATAGAACAGGAAAATGGTGATGAACATTGGATTATAGATATTTTATAAATAAAAAATTAATAAAGGTAATGAAGACTACGTCTGGAGCAACTGACAAGGATGAAAGGATTCAATCTGCAAGCAGGAGTATTTTTAAATAATTCTACAAATCTTTCTTAAATTATCTACCAAAGACTGTTTGTTGATTGTGAGATGTCAGGAACTTTGTCTTCTTATATATAGAATGGTCTGAAGACCAACTGGATTCTTTTCTATATTTACTTTATAATAACATTAATAATTTTTATTGCAGCTTAAATATATAAACAAAAAGAATTTTTCCAGATGCATTTTATTCTCAAACAATAATGAATTCTCAATCACGCAAACATACACCTACATTGGCACATACATTTGTATATAACATATGTTTTTGTTTTCAGTTAAATATAGACATCCAAAGCATCTATACATGTAATGTCTTGAATATTTTGGAATATTCTTACATTTGAAATCAATATCAACATAATTATCATAGCATGGAGGTAGAATTTCAAAAGAGCTATTAGTCCAATAGTTTCCATTTCATGTATTTTTGTCTTTAGTAGTACATTGTTATAAATCTACAAAGAGCATTGAGTACCGATTATAAACGACTGAATTTACTTTCTTTATTTTAAATTGTAGCAGATGTTCTTTATCAATAGAGATCAGGTTTATTGATTTATTTTGTTTTATGCAGATCGTCCAAGCCCTGGATCATATGATGATTCCGTTGCTGAAGGCGTTTTGACCAGAAAACATGAATGGGAATCCACTACCAAGAAGGCAACCAATAGGTAAAATAAATGATAGAACTATGATTTTAGATTGAGAAATGCAAGAGTTAAATGCTTTTGCATAAATTAACGAAATTCTAATTATATTTAGTAAAGCACCAATCTAAAATAGCTCTCTAATCCCTAAATTTTGATGAAATTTGATGGATGTGCCTAATTTCAACACAATTGGACAAGTCCACAATAAAATTTATTCACAATATATCATTTATCATAGGTCTTGGGATAAAGTTTACTGCGTCGCCCGTCAAGGTCGTTTATGGTTCTACAAAGACCAGAAAACATACAGATCAACTCCTGATCAGACCTGGAAAGGAGAAGGTGCATTGGAGCTACGAGGAGGTGCTGCTGAAATCGCCAATGATTACACAAAGAAACGACATGTGTTCAGGCTGAAGTAAGTATTTTCCATTATATTAATATAATGGATATTATTAAAGTTTTTTTGAAGATGCTGGTTGAGTTTATTTCACACATATATTGTGGACAAACCAAAATATAATTATACATAAATAAATTTACAATCTACACACCAATTTCCAAATTATTATTAAAATACTTCATTTTTAGTACGAAATATTTAGAAATAATGATTAAAGAAATAGTTGGTTTAGTTCATGTGAATTTTTTCAGAAATATTATTTAAGGTACAAAAACTTATCTGGTCGTTGGCCTTATTCACAAGCACAAATAATTCTTGCATTTATAAATGAAAAAATATCTTGCTTTGATTGTGTACACTATTACAACGAATTTAGTATATGATTTATATCAATGTAATTAATATTATCAAATTATTTTTTTTATCAGCTGTGGAATATAAGAACTTTTTGGAATCTGATTAGAATCAAGTCAAATGAAAGATAACAAGTTTAGTCTAATGCAAAATGAATAATTTGAGCAAATATTAATACTAAATTTAAAAAAAAAATGAATCTGAATTGGATTCAGAAAAACTTGTCTTTACTTTTGTTATAGTTATCGTCACTTTGTACATAATAAATCTGCATCCATAGTTTTAATTCAAACATTCAATGATCAACAGCTGAGGTAGCTTTATAGATGAACATTATAAAATCTATGATCTATCTATCTATGAAGGCAAATTGCTGGAACATCCCGTATCCCGTAAAAATCTTGGTACGGCACCTAAAAAGATTTACACAAAATGGGTACACATTATTAAAATCTCTATAAAATATCTGATAATTTGATGTACATATGTCCAATAAACTTTCAAAACCCTTTTTGCGATTACTATTACTTACCCTACGGGGAGTTAATAGGTTCTGTAAAGTTTATGGACAATCTAAAACAAAGCCACACAAATTAACCTTTTGATTTTAACAGCAGTAAACATGATACTGCCAAATTAGTAACTGGTTAATGATTTCATTCAAAAGCTTGAGTCACATCTCCCCATATACCATGAAATTCTATTTTTTTTCTTATTTCAGGTTATCAAACGGTGGAGAATTCCTGCTCCAGGCGCAAGACGATGCCGATATGTCACGTTGGGTAAATGCAGTGACGTCGCAATGTGGAGGCGACGTTTCTGGTATGGGAGGAGCTGCAACATTACCTGCTCCAAGTTCTTCGGGCAAAGACGAACCGAAGCGCAGATCCTTCTTCACGCTGAAGAAAAAGTAAATATATTAATTCTGCGTTAATTTAGTATCATTAATTAATTGAAATAAATCAATGAAAGTGTTGTAACTGAAATACAAAAGAGGGTTTGTATGTGATCAACAATTTTAATGCCAACATCATACGCTTTGATGTTTAGCATTACATTACAACGACTTTAAAGTTATGCATTTGTGTGATAATAAATGCATTAATAAAAGACACAGTTATCATATGTAATAAATGCTATGTATTAGTTGGATTTAAGATCATAACTGAACTAAAATCATTTCATAGTAGCTTCATACTTTACCACGATGCGAAGTGAGATTTGGGTGTATTTGTATTAAATGGATAATTTAAGTCATATATTTACTTCAGAGTTTATTATCACATAAAAGATTTATAGCAATTTATATGAACTAAAATTGTACTAGTCAACGAATTTTTTTTGGCCCAAATAAATTACTAAAATGATCAACGATTACACTACATTTCAAATAGTAGTCTTATTGAACAGTCAGTTCAATGAATTTGCAGAACAAGTGTTAATAACCCTTTCTAGTCGTCTAATAAAATTGTAGCAACAATAAAATAAAATTATTATAAGGCATGTTCATCAATGAGGCTTCATAATCGTGCAAAACCTTGTAATAACAGGTTGTCAGTTCATGTTTTAATTTTTTTTTTTAAAATACTGACTCTTGAATATGAAATTTTATTCAGAACACAAATGCATAAGTTGCATTGCATAATTTACATTTTTCATCAAAAACACTATTCTTTATTTTCATTTAATTTGCACAAATGAATTTATAAACAATAGATTTGATTTTTCTTAATATTACTCTTTGTTTATTTTTTTATTTATACATTTAACACAATTTTTTGATAAAGTTATCAATTTCTATTGAAACTTTCGGTCTGATTTATATAATTTGTATCTTACCATTCAAAAATAAAAATTTGCAAAACTAAGGAAATAATAATTGTTCTCAAACTTAAATAGTAAATTCATAATAGTTGTACACGGAAGTTTTTACCAAAATCGCATTCGTAAGCTTTTATAAATGTAATAGATGCCATAAGCTACAAATAAAAAGTATACAGAATAGATTACAATTACAATTTAAATGGGTTATATATATATATATATATATATATATATATATATATATAGCAAAACTTGTAGAAATTCAATCTTATGAAATTTGAATATTAATAAGAAATTCATTTTTATTCATGGCAACTCGTATCATTGTGGTTATCATTTGTTTCTTGTTGCACAAACAGTAACATCGGCAAAATATATATAATTCCATCCTTTTTAATAATATTACCCTTATTGTTAGTGAAAGAACTAATCATCTAAAAGTAACAATTAGTTCTTCATGAGAACGATAAAAAATATTAGCTATGATTTAATTTTATTTTGTTTATTAAATTCTAAGCTATTCGTAGTATTCGTTTCCAAATATCTTATTTACCTACAAATATACACAAGTATATAGTATTTGTATGTTTTCCTCAACGTCTTTTAACTGTGTAATAATAAAAGATATACCTAAATGTTATGGATAGCCAATAGGCATGATATAAACTATTTATTCAATTTATTCAAAATTCACATATATAAAATGACAAACAAATGTTAAATATTTGCTTTAATTACTATCATTTCATATCATTTTTCATTATTTCATATTCATGTCTACACTTATATGTGATAAAAGAAAAAGATTTCATAAATGCAAAGAAAACATTTATTCATATTAGAAGCTTTATGCAAAAATTAACTATGTTGAATTTATTAGCAATTATTGAAAGAACTGAAATGAAGATAGATTTTTGAATTACCAAATACAACATATTGCAAATTGCAATAATTAATCAAGCTTAATTTGCTGAACCAGAAGATATTCTTAAATGTAACATACTATAAGTTATTAAAATGAATATTAATTCTAATTACATAATTACAAGAAGTACATTTACACTTGCATTACAGAATTATTATCAAAAATATTATTCTTATATACATATTTTATGCTTATGGTAAAATTGTCTTAATTTTCTTGACACACAAGGTACACGATAAATTACCACAATTACTAAATTTTTTATTATAATATAAATCTAATATAGTATAAATTGTGCTAGCTATTATGGAAAAACGTTTTCTTTCAACATATATATGTGATCATTTAAAAATAGCAAACTAAACATATACATAATTATAATAAGGATCTTGCACAATAATTTGTTTTATAAATTGGTAAATTATTTTATTTTTTCAATTTAGACATATTACAATTTTTATATATAATTCTATTAAAAATAATAAATTTTTTTATAAATATGGACTGTTCATGTATCTAGTATAAAATTTATTTTTGCTGAAATTCTGCTTTCATAAAAACTCATTATTTTAACAGATTGTCTTAGACTTTTTGCTAGAATGAATTTAAGAGAATACATGGAACATTTGGAATATAAATATGATTGAATATTTAGCATTATGGATACAATTGAATAAATAAAAATATTTTATGGGTGCTTTTTCCATTAGCAATTGTATTTATTTAAAATAATTTAGAATAAATGAATTTGTACAAGATCCTTATATATATGTTACTTTTACAATTCACCTACTCACATTAACAAGTATTTATAAGTTCTCATTAATTTCATGTTTATGTAATATATTTCCCATTTATTTTTCATTAGTATATATGATATATTTTTGAATTTCTATTAATTTCATATAATTTCTTTTCTTTTTCAGTTAAATAAGAAAGCGCGCGCGAACCACCGATAAACACGCATCACAAAAATTGGAAAAACACAAAAATTGGTATAAAAGATTATTTAATTAATAAATGAATAATATATATACAGAAATATATAGAGAAAAAATTTCATAAATTCTAAATGTATTTATAATTATGAATAAATAATGAATCCATAGAAAATCATTGTAAACTTTTAGAGACGATTTTTTATGAAAATCGTTTTACAAAAAGATTTTAAAACACAAACTCATTGAATATATTAAGAAATTTTTGAAAAGTTAAATAGTCTAAAATTATAAGTAATTATTATAGTTTTTAGTGCTATGTTAAAGTTTAGGATGCATATATGTGTTTGCATTTACATAATGTGCAATATAATTATATTGCACATTGCGTACACATAGTATAAGGAACTTTAGGCGAGTCTTCTATTCTATGTAAGCGATTTTATATACATAAATAGACTTGTATATTCATACAATATGTAAAATATATTTATATATACATGTATATATATATATATATATATATTATATTTTACACAAATTGTATATGTATATGAGGATATTTATGTATAACTTAACATAACATATTATTTTAATCTAATGGAAAAATCTATTCGAAGAGCTACTTATTTTTATTTAAACTGCCAGCTATATATACATTTACATGTATTATAATACACTACTGATTATGCTGACAAGTATTTATAAGGACAGTATTTGTTTTTTTTTTTGGTCGTTGCATTTTAAAATTACCTACTTATACATTTCTTTTATGTGTAGCTTATAACTTTACTGTAATTTTGTAAGTTTTATGTATTTTAACTCACGAAAAATGTATTGTTAAATTTTTTGTTTTGCATTTCAAATAAATATATTATAAATTTATTTTTAAAAGTATGTATATTTAATATATTTGTCTAAGCTTATAG